AGCCCCTAGTTTATGTTCCTTCAGGAATGACAGCTGAAGACCACGCCCCCAGGCCTTAGAATTATCTTGCGCTGACTTTTCCTGATGTTCCTGTTACCGTCTTATCACCCATTGCTCCATGCCCTGCACTTGGCTGTGGAAGAGGCACCAGGCACTAGTCAGTTGGATGGTGGAGGGGCTGAGGTAGGGAGCACACACATCCCTAGTGGGAAGGACAGCAGCAGGCTTGGCTTGGGGCTGACAGGGGTTTGAACAGCTCTCCAGGGCTTACCGGAGTAGACCGCGGGGGGCAGGAAATTCTGGTCAAGGAGAATAGAATGCATATGAGCCTGAAATTATGTGATGTCCTTAGAGAAGAATATGCATCAGGAATGGAAAGAGAATACGTTATTTGGGGCTGACAGTTTATGAGTGGTAAATGCGGGCCAACTTGAGCTGGTCTTGTAAGTCGTGCTTTGTAACTTCGGCCTTGCGGTTGAGCGGCAGGGGGCGCCGAGGAGGGTTTTCATCAGGTGTCGTTTTTTCGTGTATAAGAAAGGAGGGCTGTCTCATCTGTCCTCCAGCACTTCTGTAAGGCAGACAGGACCCTGACATCTTTTACTATCAGAACATTCAGGTCCTGGAGGAGTGGCCTGGCTGCCTGGCTTGGGATCTTTCTCGTGGTACACAGCTGCTTTTAAGTCTTGTAGGAAACTACTTACTGCTGTGCAGTGGTAAACACTGGCAGGAACAATATGAAGCAAATGGAACACTGTCACTGAAGGGGTGTAGCTCTGGGGTTTTTGGTCTGTGGTGTTCAGGGTCCCCTCTCTATGCCAGAGCACAGAGAGGGAGAACCATGGGATGCTCCATGCTCCCAGGTCAGCACGGCTGATAGAGCCGAGCCGTCCATCACTGTCTCGCCCATGGACATGGAGCGGCCGCTGTGGTGTGTGCTAGCATCTGTCAGTGGCTGGCCCCCGGGAACCTGATCCCTGATGCAACTCCAGCAAGCCCCAACCCACAGAACCCCATGGCTTTTAGTTAATTAGTTTGTTTGTTTGTTTTTTAATGTAAGGTAAAGCAGAGGTAAAGGGCATTAGCTTGCAGAGCTGACAAATGTGGATTTTGCTTCTGTTTCTGTGCCTTAACTAACTGTGGATGTCACTGAATATGTGTGAGCCTCGGGCTCCTTGTCCCCGAAACGAGCAAAGCCAGACATACCTGGAAAGATGTCTGTGATGATTAAAATGTGCCGCTGTTTCAGAAGTGCCTTGGAGCAGAGCCTGGCACACATGAGTCCTTGAGTTATGGTAGTTTTAATTATTGTTCTTATCACTGTCACCACACCACTGTTGCTGACACCATAGTGAAAGAATGTTCCGGGAATAAAGACTGGTGGGAATGAAAAGCCGCTAGTCCTACTACCAGGGTGCAATTGCCCTGGGAATTTACTTCTGTTACCTTTGGAGCCCCACCCCCACCCCAGTTCTAAACACACAAGATTTTACAGTCTGTTGGCTTTTTTTCCCATGTGGAAGGAACTGCATTGTAATTTATTTCTTCTTCCTCTTCCTCCTCCTTCTCCTTCTCCTCCTCCTCCTTCTCTTTCTCTTCTTCTTCTCCTCCTCCTCCTCCTCCTCCTCTTCTTCCTCCTCCTCCTCCTCCCCCCACCTCCTCCTCCTCCTCCTCCTCCTTCTCCTTCTTCATCTTCTTCTTCAAGACAGGGTTTTTCTGTGTAGCCTTGAGTGTCCTGGACTCGCTTTGTAGATCAGGCAAGTAGATCCCTGGCTTTGAACGCACAGGGATCCACCTGCCAGTGCCTCCCTAAGTACTGGGCTTAAAGGTGTGTGCCACCATACCTATTTTTTCCCCTTATTTTTAATAGATTTCTCCTCTGATTACAAAAATAGTGTATAAGACGCAGAGAGAAAGCAAAAGAAAAGCCGTATTCCCAGTCTCTTCCCCAGACCAGAGCCAAGCACTGTCAACATTCTGATGTCTCTTCTTCCAGTCATTTTTATTCATGTTTTATTATAGAGTAGATAATGCATTATGGATACAACATTTATGTGATTTTTTTTTTCAGTTCACATGATACTCGGAATATTTTTTTAGTGTAAGCATCATTTTCCTAGGCTGTTTAATAGACCATCAAATAGCTCGACCATCATTTACATACATATTTGCTTACTGCTAGACATCTAAGTTTTTTTCCTGTTCATCAGTCTGAGCTGCTCCCTGTAACAAACAGACTTAGGGAGCCAGCCTCGGTACAGCCAGGAAGCTTCAGGTGAACTACCATGCCTCTGGTCCCCAGGGAGTTACCATGGGACAATGACAAGCCTCAAGCTTAGCGACGTGACGACTGACCAAGAGGGCTTCCTTGCCACATCTGTCGGAGTCCGTGCAGTGTGTGTAGTTCCTCTCTCAGGCTGAATTTGGGACAAGGAATCCTCGCTTTGTACTGAGCAAGGCTTAGAAGGCCAGGCTGCCCTTCTCACCTCCAGCCCCATCAGAACTTCCATTTCCACTAGAACATCAAGATAGGACCTTGTCAGAGTGAGAGAGTCACACTGGCTCTAGGCTTGTTAAATGTTCTAAATTAAAAAGTACTGTATGTTTATGGTGCTTTGCTTACATGCATGTGTGTGCCCCGTGCCCATGGAAGCCGAAAAATGAGACATCAGATCCCCTAAAAATGCAACCATGGACAATTCTGAGCTATTGTGTAGGTGCTGAGAATTGAACCCAGGTCCTCTGGAAGAGCATCCAGTGCTCTGAACTGCCAAGCCATTTCTTCAGCCTCTCCAGTCTTTTTTTTTTTTAATTAACAGATATGTATCTGTATGTATATACATACACACACATGTATGTATGTCTCTCTATATATATATCATGAACAACTTGAAGTTTTGAAGTAAGCACACATCATAGAATGGCTAAGTCAAGCTAATTTATGTATTATTTCACATATTTGTCATTTTTGTGGTGAGAAAGCTTCACATATTCTCAGCATTTTCCTTTCCCCTTTTTTCATGTGTTTGTGTGTGTGTCCATGTTTACCTGCATGTAGGTATGTGTGCATGTGTGTGTGCGTGAAGCCCTGAGGTTGTTGTTAACCATTATCTTCCGTTGTTCTTCTGCCTTATTCACTGAGGCAGGGTCTCTCCAACCAAACTGAGACCAAACAAACAAACAAAAGCCAGTTTTGCGATGCAGCTTGCTCTAGGCGTCCGTCATCCCCACCTTCTGAGCCTGGAATTACATGCGGGCTACCATGCCCGCCTGTGCTAACGTGAATTCTGAGGATCTGAACTCCAGGCCTCGTGCTTGCACAAAGTAACTTCTGCTGCTCAGCATTTCTTAGGAATGTTTCACGCCATTAGCTACAGACTTTAGTGGGCTGTAGTAAGGATGAACCCAATGACCAGTCTGCTAAATGGAATAGGTGGACAGGCTATTAAATGGACAAAGGCTGGACAGGCTCATTCTGTGGTCATGAAAGTTCTCACATTTAGACTTGCCCTGGAACCCAGGACGAATCATTTCCTCTCGCCATGTTTCCTCTCTGTCCTGGGGTGTGCCAAGAGGATGTACAAAGCCTTTCCCACATCAGTGTCCAGAGTACCTACCCCTTCCTCAGGTCTGGGGTTAAAGGAGCATCCTGATGCAGGTCACACATACTTCTCCAAGTCTAGATTTCCTCTTAATTAGCACCGAAGGAACCATCTCTGCTTTTCTTTTACTTCCTCCTGACAGCAGGTGGATAATGCAGAGGCTGAAGGGATTGCAAATACTGGATTCAAAACCCTGAACAACCAGCAGCCCTTGCTCTCTGAGACATTCTTTCTTTCTTTCATGCACTTGGTACTTTTATTCATTCTCTCATCTGTCAGATGTTTACTGAGCCCTAGGCTTTTTACCTGCAGAGGTGAGACACACTGTGTTCTCAGGCTGTTTGTGCCTAGCAGAGGCCAGAAGGAATACTAAAAGACAAGATGCCTGCTGCAATGTGATGCCTGAATGACAGGAGTGCCCGAGTCAGCCTAAACAATGTAGCCAGGAGTTCGTGGGTGCTCCAAGGAAAAGAATGAACACAGCCCTTTATGTAGGCGATGAGGAGAGGCCATTCTGGGTGGATGAACAAGCAAGCACAAGAGAATGAAGTGCCCTCGGAGGCCACAGGGAGTCTGGGCTGCAAGGGGAGGGGGACAGAGCAGAAGCATCTCTTCCTTTAACTTCTTGGCTTTCTTATCACTAAATGAGAGTGATGATGTTTTTAGTTCGGTATTTGAAAGCTGTCATCTTTATTGCTGTAGCTTTCCTTTTTTTTTATTTTTTTTTTATTAAAGTAACATGTCCATTGTAGAAATGTTGAAAAATGTGCTGTGATCTCAGGACTTAGGAGGTAGAGGCAGGAGGAGCAAGAGTTTAAGGGTACATGAAACCCTGTATGTGTGTGTGTTGAGGGTGGTGCTAGAGAGATGGTTTGGTTATTAAGAACACTGACAGAGGACCCAGGTTCAATTCTGGCACCTGCATGGTAGCTCACAACTGTCTGAAACTCCCATCCCAGGGGATTCAACGCCCTCTTCTGTCCTCTGCGGGTAATGCATGCACATGGCACATAGCCCTGTGCGTAGATAAAATGCCAATACACATAAAGTAAAGTGAAAAAAATGAAAAAGAAATAAAAGTAATTAAAATGTGAAATGGAAAAAAAGAAGTTTGAAAAAATGAAAGCAGAAAGAAAAACTCTTTGGCAGTCTAACTAGCTAAAGACAACCTCAATATCTTGGTGATTTCTAGTCAATGTTTTTTCACACTGACTTTTTATGTAGCTGTGAATATGTTATAATGATAATTTTAACCTTTGTGTATGATGCTCCTTTCTAACTTTTTAAAAAATTGCCAAAAATGAATGTGCATGTCCTTACGAAATAACTGATCACAAAGCACACTAGCTGAGGAGGCTGTACATTTTTTTCTAATAGCGTGTATCTTCCTTGCTTTTTCAGGTTGCTTGTGGCTCAGAGCACAACTTGGCAGTGATTAGTAAGTGATTTCTTTTTTACACTGATAACAGTTGATTAGGAAATCCATGTAACAGAATTGGAGAAGACTCTGGGACCAGGCTTGGTGGTGTGCGTCCGTACCCAGTGTTGCGCAAGCTAAACACGAGTTCAGGCCAGTCTGGGGTGTGTAGTGACAGCACATGCCCTGTGCGTGTGTGTGTGTGTGTGTGTGTGTGTGTGTGTGTGTGTGTGTGTGGGTGTGTGGGTGTGTGCGTGCGCGTGTGTGCTGCATGAGGTGGGGAGAGGGAGAGAGTTGAGGATGATTTGGGGGACATTCTTGGTGATAAAGCACTTATTAGAAGCCCATTTTCCAAAAACTTCAGCTGTGTCATTGAGTATCTTTTAAAGTGGCTGAGTTGGCTCCTGCCTCAGAAAATGACATTTAAATATCCAGTTCACAGGCTTGGGCGTCATGGATAGACAGTGAGACGTAAAACTGGGGCTGGCACTCTGAACAGACCCATTCTAGGAAGTGCTTTCGCCTTGGAAGCACAGGGCTCGGCTCCCAGCCCTTGCTCCCGGTATATAGCTGCACCAGAGAGCCCCCAGTCAGACACCAACCTGGTTCACCGAGACTTCTTTTTCGCTGGCCATGGATAACATGAGTTCCTGACTGCGCCCAGGGGTGATTTATTCAGGAAAGCTGTCCATTCCTTTCCCTAGTCGATTCAGGCTGAGCCGCACAGTAGGGCAGAGCGGGGCTTCTTAAACTCCTGCTGCTCAGGACCCCTCTGCGTCAACATGACTCCAGGTGTACAAGTGTGTAAAGCAGATGTACAAGTCAGGCATATACTGGCAATAGCTCATAAAATAGTCTAAAAACAGTTCTTTGGTATGCGTGAAATTTTATCGTTGAAGGACAGAGCAGACTGTGTACTAATGAGGTGGTGTGCATGCTTATCTTGCAGAGTTCAGTTGTGGCTGAGTATTTGCTATTATGGGGCTTAGAGCATGCTCAGTGCTCTGAGTGCTGAGAGCACCGCTTCCCGCTTCCCATAAATACCCGGCAGCAGCGTGTTTAGGGCCATTTCAAAAATTGTTGGAAATTCTGTCCTAAGCATAAGCCAGAATTCATTTAATGATGTTTAAATTTTATCTTGTTGTTATTATCTTGCTGTTGTTGTTGTTGTTGTTGGTGGTGGTGGTGTGTGTGTGTATGTGTGTATGTGTGTACACACACATAGCACTTGTTTCAGGGATTAAAACTGAGGTCTTCAGGCATGGCAGCAAGTGTTTTTACTCACTGAGCCATCTGGCCAGTTCTATTTAATGACTAAGAAAAATGAAACCCAAATCAGCAACTCATATAGCGGTTTTTAAAATTAAGCACTCTAACCTAGCAGAATCCAAAGATACACCACTTAGACACTGCTGAGGCATGACAGTAGGGAAAGGAAAAGTCTTTGTCCTCTCAATTTGGCCCTCCTGCCTCTGTGAGAGCAGAAAGGAATTCGTATTGTAGGGAGTCTGCGCCTTGGTGTTTCGGGCAGCGCTCGTTGCCCTGGTGCGTTCGCAATCAAAGCCACAGCGCGGTCACATGATCCAGTGCGGTGAGCACTGCCAATAACACCCTGGCTTCGTTACACGTTTGACTTTTGAGGTAATTTGCTATTGTTGTGTGTTCCTTTACTGCTGCACAGTTCTCACGACCCCACACTTAGTCACTGCTCCCCAGAGGAAGCTGGACGTCACAGACTGCGGCGTAGGGGCAAGGCGCCAGAGTTCTGTGCTGGCTTCTGTAGCGGTGTGAACTTCGACAAGGTGTTCATCTTCCTCCTCGTTAAAATAGAGGCGCTGCTCTTGCAGAGGACCCCAGTTTGTGTCCCAGCCCGCATGTCCTGCCACTGACAACCACCTCTAACTCCAGCGCTGGGTGATACGATGCCCCCTTCTGGCCTGCATAGACACTGCACTCACATGTACAAACACATTCGCACATAATTAAAACCGAAAGTAAAATTGTTCTTAAAAGTTTTTTTTAGAAATGTTAGTGGCCATTATTTAATGTGATTCCTTAAACAGAAACAGATTTCTTAAAACAGAAAATCACGTTTATCTCCAGGTGGGTCTCAGCACTCATTACCACTCACCTCTGCCTGTTCCTGTGTCTGATAGCTGGGACTCCGTCTTCTGGAAGGGAAGCACCTTGTGCCCTCCTCCCCTTCTTGCCTATTCCCAGCACCATGGACAGCAGCCGACTCGGAGCAGACTGATAGGCACTCTTGCCGAGCTAGTCTGACACAGGACTGGAGTGATTTGAGGCACTGTTTGTGGGCCCCACTGTCACAGGCACAGGAGTGAGAAACAGGGACAGCAGAGAAGGGAAGCTGCCAGCAGCAGTGGGAAACCAGAGGAGCTGGAGTCAGAGAAAGAGCAGAAGTATCAGCAAGCCCACCTGCTTTGCAGCAGGAGCAGGTATTTTTACAGCGGAACTAGCTGTAATCAAGACAAGCTAATGAGAGAATCTGAGGCAGTACCCTGTGGCTGCTGCTGCTATCCCTGGAGAGAAGAAGGTCGTTTCCCCTGGGACCAGCATAGATGAAAAGGTTGAGGTGAATCTCTACATATGAAGCACACAAGTCAAGAGATGGCCAAGCCAGCAGAGCTGGAAGCTGACTGACAGAGGCAGCCTGGGACCCGGAAGAGCAGAGCCGCAGGCAGACAGCCATGGCTCAAACCAGCCCCATCACTTCGTGAAGCCCATCTCCCTCCGCATCCAAGCACCGGGGTCATGATTCCTAAATGCAGGGCTGTTGTGCACACCAGGCAAGATGAACTTCACAGGTTGTCTCTTGTGTATATTTCTTTGTTTCTGACTGAGCTAGGTGTGAGAAGCGGCGGAGAACTGCTCTGGTGCAGATTTCTTTGTGGGGGAGGACAATGGTCTTTGGGAAAGAGGGATCCCATGTTATTTCAGTGAGGCTGTCAGCGTCAACGGAGGGAACTGGCAAGCCTTGAGTCTTTTTAAATCAGACATTGTATGTGTGTGGGGTAGCTTAGAGGTAGAACACGTGCCTCACATGCACGAGGTCAGGGTTTGATCCCCAGTACCATACACAACAGAACTACAAATGTGAGTAAATAACTAAGCGGGGTGTGGTGGTCATACCTGTCATCCCGGCGTGGGAGGCCGAGGCAGCAGACTCGCTGTGAGCTGGCTGACGTAGCAATTACTATGCTGACCAGGGCTATGTAGTGAGACCCTGTTCCACCCCACTGAAAAGAAGTGAAATAGTAATAAAATGCAGGTGTAGTTTTAAGTTATTTAATCTTTTATTATGTGTATGTGTGTGACCTCCGTAAATTTATATGTGCTATGTGCAGGAAGGTGCCCACAGAGGTCAGAGGGCATCAAGACCCCTGAGTCCCCTGATATGGGTGTTGGGAACTGAGCTCAGGTCCTGTCTAGCCACAGATTTTATTTTGTCTTGTGCCTCGGGACTGGCTCAGTGTGTTGCACAGAGAGCCCCAGGGTCAGGGAAGGTAGGCCCAGGTGCAGCGCTCAGGACTGGCCAGGGTCAGGGAAGGTAGGCCCAGGCGCAGTGCTCTCAGATGTCCACCTGCCTGGGAGCGGAGACGCAGAGGTACCCTGGGCTGATACAGTCCCCAGAGGGTGCTCTGCGGAGTGCGTGCAGACAGAAGCAGCAGGAGACTGCTGCCCGGTCACCCTGGCTGGAGGCCAGCAAGAGAGAGGCACACTGGACAAGAGCCCCAGCAGCCTGAGTCCCTGCTCCCAGCTGCCCCCCATTGCCATTGCTGCAGCAGATGGACTCCTGCCGTCAGTCCACTCTGAACCCAGCACCAGGACCTGGCACTATAGTCCCCACATGATAGACTGGAGCGGAATAAAAAGACTTTGCTCGTGGACAGGAGCCGTAATGGCTAACAAATGTGTGCCAAACAGAACAGCCTGGGAAGGGAAGCGAGGCAGGGAGGGGTGAAGGGGTGGCCCGGGGGGTTTACTCTGCCTTAGGCAGTAAACTCCACAGGTAAACGTGTTCTAACCTGCTACGGACAAATGAGACTCAAAGGTTAGGGGGGTTGGACAGGCTGCTCAGAAGTATCCATGGGCAAGCTGTCTGCCTGCCTCCAAGGCTACTCTGAGCCCCGCCATGTCCTGTGCCTGGGGCAGGAACAGGCTGTGCTTACATTATTGACCCTGTACAGTTGTTAGGAGAGTACTAACTGACACAAAGGTAAGGGATCAATGTTAGCTGTTATGTTTTCCTGTTAGGACCTCATAGAAGGGCGCAATTATAATTGCCTATAAGGGGCCTGAGCCCCAGGGGCCCCTGAGAGCCATAGTGACTGAAGAAACATGTGTCCTGGACAAAGTCTGCCATGTACTGCAGAGGCTGAGGTAAGATGAGTCCTGATCTAGAGGTCTCAGCAGCCCTCAGGACAGTGCCAACCCAGATTTATTCTGAGTTATCCCCAGACAGGGACCCAGGCTCTGCCCGTCCAGCCCACAGGAAGCCTCTTGGCAGTCACTTTTCAGCTTCCTTTGGAGAAAAGAGTTCTATGTGTTTGTTGATTTATCTGCATCTAGCTTTCTTCCTTCCCTTCTTTGGCAGTTTGGAATAGTTCTTCCCTTGGTTTTCCAGTTAGGTCTTTGTTGGCATGTCTAGTGCTTCCACCAGGCTCTTGTCGGGGGCAGGGTGGCAGGTGTGTGAGTTCCTGTCTGGGAGGAATGGCTGGATCTAGGCCTGTAGGTACATAGACAACAGCTAAGGTGAGGGAGGAGTCCATTGGCCGTGGCCACACTGCCACTCAGCCTCCTGCTTCCTGTAGTTACCCTGCCCCGCTGCGCTGGATTCCCAGTCTGTAACCTCGCCAGAAGGATGCCCAGCCACAAGTGGGTCTTCCTGAGTGGCATAGGCATGCTGAGTTCCTGCTGTGTCCACAAACGGTAGGTCCCCAGGGTGGCACTCACTCCCTGCCTCATTCCTCTCCTTCACTCATTTCCTGTCACCCAGGACT